CCATGACTTCCTGGTTCATAGGTTGATGCTCAATCACTGAGCAGCACCAGCAGGGCTAAACTGAGTTTATTAATATGTCAATACAAAGGCCTGTGTGAGGCTCACTAAAGATGTGCTCAAAGTGCCCAAATATTTCTTACATTCCCCCAAGATCCCGCCTCTTGCATGCCCAACTGGATTTGACAATCATGAGTTTTAAAATACTCTAAAGAATGGGTTTATACTGAAAATGGTTTTATTTCTTTTTGTGTTTATAGAATGCTGATTTACAAAATAGTAAAACTCTGTGGGATGAACTGTGGCTGGTGTTTCTCAATGGTTAGAATGTCAGACTGCAGACCAAAGGGTCTCAAGTTCGATCCCCAGTGAAAGGCACTTATCTGTCTTGCAGGTTTGATCACTGGCCCCTGTTAGGGCCTATAGGAGGGCCAACCAATTGATGTGTCCTTCTCACATTGATGTTCCTCTCTCTCTCCCCTCCCTCCCTTCTACTCTCTCTAAAAATCAATGGAAAAATATCCTTACAATATCCTCAGGTGAGGATTTTTTAAAAAAGACTCTGGTCTGGCCAGTGGCCAGTGTGGTTCAGTGGTTGAGCATCGACCTATAAAGCAGGATGTCAAGGTCAAATTCCTGGTCAGGGCACATGCCCAGGTTGTGGGCTGGATTCCCAGTGTGGGGTGTGCAGAAGGCATCCAATCAATGATTCTTTCTCATCATTGGTGTTTCTATCTCTCCCTCTCCTTTCCTCTCTGAAATCAATAAAATCTACACTAATAATAGACAAATATGTAAATTGACCATACCTCTGCAATGCCCTACAGCCAATCAGGACGGAATGTGCAAATTAACTGGACAAAGATGGCGGCGGCCACGGAGCCAGCTGGAGTGGGCAGGAGGCTTGGGTCGCCCCGGTGACGGAGGAAGCCAAACTTCCCGCACGCCTGGGCTGGTAGATGAAGGTGGGGCCTGTGGGCAATGGCCACAGAGCAGGCCAGAGCAAGCGTGCTTAGGTGGCCCTGGGCGACAGAGGAAGCCAGCCACTGAAGGAGGGGCCTGTGGGCGGGGGCCATGGTGCCAGTCTGAGTGTGTGGGAGGCTTGGGTCACCCAGGCTGGCCCCCAAGGGAGGGTCCTGCAAACGGCCCTCAGCCCCTCACCCAGGCTGGCCATGCCACCATTGGGGTGAGGGTCCCTGCTGGGGGGCATGGCCAGTCTGAAAATGGCCCTCAGCCCCTTACCCAGGCTGGCCACACCCCCATCGGGTGGGGGTCCCTGCTGTGGGCATGGCCAGCCTGAAAACAGCATCAGCCCCTCACCCAGGCTGGCCAGGCACCCCAGTGGGGACCCCCATCCTCAAGGGGGTGTGGCAAGCCTGAAAACAGCCCTCAGCCCCTCACCCAGTGCGAACCCTCACCCCATGGGGGCGTGGCTCGCCTGCAAACCACCACAGACCCCTAGCCCAGGCCACCCCGCCCCTGCCAAGGGAGCCCCCAACCTGATCCAGGACACCCTTCAAGGAAAACCAGCCAGCCCCCACCCATACACCAGGTCTCTATCTATACTAATAAAAAGGTAATATGCTAATTAGACTGGGAGACCTTCCAGAAGACCTTCCGGATGTTCTTCTGGACAAAGCCATGGTGGCAGGGCCGAGGTAGAGGTGGTTAGGGGCCAAGAGGGGAGGGCAGTTGTGGGTGATCAGGCTGCTGGGGGGGCATTGGGGGTGAACAGGCCATCAGTGGAAGTCAGTTGGGGGGAATCAGGCTGTTGGGGAGGGGCAGTTAGGGGTTAACAGGCCTGCAGGAGGATATTTGGGGACTAGCGGGATGGCAGGGAGGACAGGTGGGGGAGAGCAGGCTGGCAGGAGAGGCAGTTGGGGGTGATCAGGCTGGCAGGGGGGCAGTTGGGGGCGAGCAGGCTGGCGGAGGATGGAAGTTGGGGACAAGCAGGCCTGTAGGCAGAGTGGTTAGGGGAAATCCGGCAGGCAGGCAGGTGAGTGGTTAGGAGCCAGCAGTCCGGATTGTGAGAAGGATGTCCGACTGCCGGTTGTGGGATCAGTCCTAAACTGGCAGTCAGACATCCCCCAAGGGGGTCTCAGATTGGAGAGGGTGCAGGCTGGGCTGAGGGACACCCCCCATGCACGAATTTCATGCACCGGCCCACTAGTCTATATAAATAAAAGCCTAAGCGACTGTTGGACCATTCAACTGTTCGACCAGTAGCTGTGATGCACACTGACCACCAGAGGGCAGATGCTCAATGCATAGGCATGGAAACATGGAACAGACTGATGAATCTCAGAGGGAAGGGGTGAGGGGAGAGGGCAGGAAGAGATTAACCAAAAAACTTATATGCATATTAGAGGCCCAGTGCACAGATTCATGCCCTGGTGGGGTCCCTTGGCATGACATTCCCCGAGGGGTCCCGGATTGCAAAACGGTGCAGGCCAGGCTCCCACCGGTGCACAAATCCATGCACCAGGCATATCTGAGAACTTCTGAGTTTTCCATTTCACAGTTTCAGCCACCAAAAAGAGTCTGATCTGAACCTTTTTATGCCAAAACCAAAAGAATCCTATATAATAAAAGTTTAATATGCAAATTGAACGAATGGTGGAACGACCTGCAGAACGACCGGTCGCTGTGACATGCACTGACCACCAGGCAGGTACCAGCAGGGGCCCCCTCAATCTCCCGCTAGCCACCTAGCTAAGGGAGGCAACCATGGCAGCAGTGTGGGTGGGGCCGGCGAGCAGGCGGCGCCAGGCCTGGCCAGGGCAGGTGCCAGCTGCGGGCTCCCAAACACCCCACTGATGAACCCACAGATCTGCCCTGATCGCTGGCCAGGCCTAAGGACCCTACTGGTGCACAAATTTTGCGTAACAGGCCTTGAGTTGTAGGATAAGAACCTACTGGCCTGGCTTTGCTTAGCTTCCCTTCTTTAAATCTGTGTGTGTGTGTGTGTGTGTGTGTGTGTGTGTGTGTGTGTGTGTGTTTGAGGTGTAGGAGTGAGGGGGAATGGGGTGAGACAGGGTACAGAGAGGACATGTCAAATTTGACAGCTTCAGAGGAGAAACTATGGAGAAAAATAAACTGCAAAAGAAGCAATATTTAGGAACAGGGAAGTATAGGGTGCAAGAGAAAAGGTATGGTGCGGGTGGGCATCTATAGGCTAGCTGCCAGGCACTCCATCACGGCACACCCAGAGGCAGAGCTCCTTGCTTATGTAACTTGCCACAGCACAAGGTTCATGGGAGGTAAGGACTCTGGTTTATCTCAGTGACAAGCGTGTTTCTTTTATTTTCCACCGAGATCTGGAGCTGGAAGTAAAAATCAAGAAGAAGGGTAACATCTGGTGCAGTAAAGGGATCACTTTTTTGTTTGTTTATTCATTTATTGGTTGGATTTGTGGACATATTCCATAGCAAAATTACTGGACCCTATTTTTTCCCCCGTTCTTTAAGCCATAGCTGGATACAAAGGAGTTACCAATAAGCTCTTCCCAAACATAAGCCCTGTCAGCACAATTGAGTGTTTGCTGTGCTGAGCAGAAATTTTCTAATAATACGTCAGAACATATGCAGGAATATTAGTTTCTGGGCTTTGAAACAATCACTGCTAGAGGGTTCCTTACCTATACAGGACATTTAAGGTAATCACACACTCAGTGGCTACACAATAAATGCTTTTACTGCATTAGACCACTTCTGTTACTTCATTGCTCCCACCCGCTCCCTTTTAAATCCAGGGGATGTTTTTTAACTGTAAATATGGTTTTCAAGATTTCTGTATTTATCATTGCTTTTACTCTTAATTTGATTCATTACAAATATGATGCACTTGCCAACTTATCTCTTAGTAGTAACAGGACCTGCAATGTCAAGATTTTAATTCGTGTGTATAAAAGGCGAAAAGAATTATCCAAATGCACTGTGTAGCAAATGTCTATAGCTGGGATCAAACTCAGGAATGTGTGACCTTAAAGTCCAAGATCACTGTTCAGAAAAAAATAAAATAAAACATTGTCTTCACTCCCATTAGACCAAGGGACACTTAACCTTTGTTTTCCTATCATTTTTGCAACACAAAGTGTTTTTCTTATTTTGCTGTGTTCGTGCTTTACAGCTTGAATTTCCACTTAATCCAGTCCCAGTCCATTATTATCCCATTTGCTAACATCATTTGTAGCAGCTTTATGATAGCACATTAATTTTATGTGCTACAACTTTCCTAAGAAATTTTCTAATCTTGAACACTTAACTTGATTCATCATGACATCATTGTGAATAATGATAAGTAGCATGCATAATTTCCATATTTTAAAATATATCCTAAAGATAGAGCTATTTAAGTGTGATTGCTGGGTCAACTTATGTGAATGTTTCAGAGAATTTTTAACATGTATGGTGAAAAAAAATTTTAGAATAGTTACACTATTTTCAATATAACCTAGTAAGAGCCTTATTGTAAGGGTGATATTGGCACTTTAAACAATGATATAATTTTTTTTCATGTTAAATGAGCAGATACATCTTTTAAAATTTCATGTTGCTTTTTAAAAATAGTGGTTTAAAATAGATTCCTGACCAACCCCCAAAAGAGAAATGTGGGGTCAGTGACCACAATTATCTGCACATCTCCCCTTTTCTTTAAAAATGCAAAACCTTTCCAACATGTGAAATTACAAACTTTGCACATTTTGTTCTGTGGAAAATGAAAAGCCTTACAGATTCTGACTACTTTATAGTAACTTCAAATCAATGAGATTTTGTCCCAGTGTTGAAATCCTTAACTTAATTGCCTAAATCAACTCAAAGCTTTTATTGCCCAATAATTCCACCCATTTCTTATGGTAAATCACAGTTTTTATTTTAATGGATTGAAGACTGATTAGGTAGAGAATTATAGCTGACCAATTTACTCTTTTAATTCATGCAGGTAGATATTTATTTTTCTCTTTATTCCTACTGATTTGGTTGCTCTGCTTTATCTCCTACTAGGTGTTTGCCAAACTACTGTGAACATGGAGGAAGCTGTTCCCAGTCCTGGACCACCTTCTATTGTAACTGCAGTGACACGGGCTACGTTGGCCCCACCTGCCATCACCGTGAGTAGATTCGTGGTTTCCACAATAGAATGGGCAAAACTCCAGGAACACCAGATTACCTTCATGATGTAGTCAGCATGGGGAAGGCACTTGTTATTCATTCATTCAACATGCCTTTCTTGAGATAATACAATATGCCAAACATTGTGGTGGGCATGGAGGATACATGGATATAAGCCATATTCTCATGGAATGTATGGCCTATGAGGAAGACAGACAGGAATGGGAAATGTGGTACAGGCAAGACAAGGGGCCACAGGTGCATAGAGGTGCACAGGGGTGAGGTATTAAGTCAACTGTGTTGTCTTTGTGGGCTGAGTTGTACTGTGATAAACAACCCAACATCTCAGTGGCCTAAGTGGCCAGCAGATGTGCCATGCCTGTGTGATATGCTCATCACACATGGGCAGAGGGCTCTTGCTCACATTGTCGCATTCTGGGATGCTGACAGAGGCTCCCTCTCTGGAACTTTGTCATGGCATGAAGAAGGAAACACAGGGAAACATGTGCCAGTTTTTTAAATCTACCTGTAAGTGGCTAACAGCACTTCTATTCACATTCATATGGGTACACCTAAATTTAAGAAGGAAGGAAACACCACCTTATCATGAGATCTGACACAGCAGAACCAACATATTGGTGATAAGTACGATGACCATATGTCAGTGTTTGGGAAGCTTCAAATAGAAAGCTTGAACTGAACTTGTGGTGGGACTATGTTAGGAAAAAATGGAAAAGGAAACTGAATCTGCAAGCAGTTTTTTCGCTGGAGGATTGGGTGGGTGGAATTTCTCCATCACTAGTGGGAGAAAAGTAAATTTCTAAGACTGGCACAGGAGAATGAGTGGTTTTTATTTGCATGGAATTATAATCCTCTTTTTCCAATGTCCCATTGTCTTTAAGCCAGTCCTGGAAAATATGCAGCTGAGGGTTCAGTAGAGCTAAAAAGCAGGGCCAGTGTCCAGAGTTCCTGTGCCACGGTAGAGTTGAGTCTGATGTAGCATCAGTACAGTTTCAACCCTGATAAAGACGTAAGTCCAAGCTACCTAATTTTTGGCAAAATTTCATGCCATCATTCCTATCAGTTTTAAAGTTTATTCTATTCACTTTTTCTAAAGTAATTTAACAATCTTTTAAGGAGTTCATCCTATGAATGTTATTCTACTTTAATATTCTCCATCCACCAGCTTAAAAATAGAATGTTTTAGCTTAAGAAAATAAAATTGATGGAACACTGTAAAGCTGATGAGCTGAACAATCAGCATACTAAGCTTATCAATATCATTTATTTTAAACCTTCCCATTCTCCTTCCTGTGAAATTGCTCAGTGCTTACACTGTGGGCTGTAACACTAAAAACCCCCATGTTTCCTTCTGGAGACCCTGCCAGGACAAAAAAAGGAGCATTTGTGTGACTCTGAGGTTGGACAAGCACACTTTGGATGCCTGTGCAATTTGAGAATTTGTCCTCCCTCTAACAAACCCCCGCCACCCACCACCTCTAATTGGGTAAGAACCATTGTTTTGAATCACTTGGCAAACCAAGTGCATCAAACTTGCCTTCATGCTTTTAGCAAGCATGCGAGTCACATGTGGGGCATTAGAGATACAAGCTGCCAAAGGGAAGAAAACATCACATAGAACACCTCATAAAAACAAAACAAGGAAGTTCAATATTCTGCTCTTGTGGAAATGACAATGTTCTTGGTATGTTGGGCATATTTTCTTAAAGCAATCATTTACAATCAGAAAAGTAAATAAACGGTCTTCAGAATTTTTAAAATTGATAATTTCTTGAGTGTTCTCTTAGTATTTTGTCCTTTTAAGCTCTTCAGGATTAGTTTAATTTTTTTCATTATTGGTTTGTTCCAGTAAATGTGAACCAATAGGGCTGACTGAAAACAGATAGGATAAACTTTTTTAGCTCTTGTGCATCTGGGTGAGGTGAAGAAGTGTCCAATGGACTCTCTGAGAAATGACAAAATGAGAATTCTGAGTCTAGACACATTAGGTTTCTGTGGAAACTTGATATATCACGATTCCATTTCAATATTCTTTCCCCATTATCTGATGACACTTAAAAACTTGGGTATGCAAGTTAGGTTACTTTACAAATGCACCTTGTTCAAAACCACCTATGTAAGAAAATGATGATGAATATGTGGGCAATTCTTATCCAATCTGTGGCAGCTTCCCCGTATAAGGAAAGAACGAGATCATTGTTTCCCGTGGGCTTCCATTGAACACTACTATATCAGGACTGTCAGTTGTTTTTGGTTAGAAATTTTCTTATCTAAGTTGTATCCTATTCTCCAGAATAGTAACGAAAGGTAAAATAATTTTAGTCATTCAACACAAGCCCTGGAAACCCAACCAATGTTCATGGCCATCAGACCACCAGAGACAGTTACCATGGTTATTGGTTTTATACAGTGTGCAAGTTTAGAAGCTGTGTACTTGAAGCCAAACTTCTAAGTACTCAGGGTATGACTTGGTCATGATATATCATGTCCACCTTATTACAAATCCAAGTTAAGATAGAAAGAATTATTTTTTTATTTATTTTATTATGGGAGCATAATGCACAGATCGGTCTACAACGTGATAAACTGAGATGGCATTATTACCATACTAGAGACCCAGTGCATGAAATTTGTGCACTCAATGGTAGAGAAGTATCCAAGCCCTCTCACAGTCCAGGAACCCCATGATCAATCATCCCAAATAGGTAGGCTCTGTCCACCCAGCCGGGGCTTCATGATGGATCACCCCTGTAGAGGGACACCCCACCTACCCACCACAGCACCACCACAGGGTAGCTTGGGCCTCCTTCTTTGGGGTGATCATGGAGCCCTCCAATTGATTGATCGTCCCACTGGCCAGTGGCCTGGGACTCCCTCTTCAGGGTGACCATGGGCCATGGTCAGGCCCCCAACCAATCGCATCGCACCCACCTTGGCTGCCCTGGCACCAGTAGGTGTCATAGTGTGGTCATCTGGATGGTTGTTCCGCTGTTTGGCCATTTGATCTATTTGCATATTACACTTTAATTATTATAGAAGATTTATTTTATAGATGAGCACTTCGAGGCCCAGAAAGGATACATAATTTTTTCTAGATCACATAGCTAGTGAGTGCTGGAGCTGGGACTCGAAAGGAGTAAGTATGGTGGAAGATGTCAGATCCTTAGGCCCTATATCTGATTTCCTTTATCCAACACACAAGACATTTGCAAACCACTGTATGTAAACTTATTGATAGGGCATTCATGATATTCTTCATATAGTTATAGACATACTATGATATTGTGATACCCTAATTGACAATGCAATTCTAGAAGACAGAGTGATGAGGAAGTATTTGTGTTCTAGGATAATTGTGAAATCATCACAGAAGTAAGTAAGATGCATTAGGACTTGAAGAACTGCTAAAATTAGAACTGGAGAGACTGGCAAGAGCCAGGACCTGGTGGTGGGAATATATATGCTATGTTTTGGGATGATGCTGATGTTTGCCTGGCTCAAGACAGGAAAAATGAAGAGCTTTATTCATTGCTGAAGCCCAAATTGGATCCCTATAAAGCACTTTTCTGGAAGGGAATCTGAGTACACTTTCTCTTATGAGCAGAGTTTTTTACATGTTATTTGAAAATATCTATAAATACCACTTTAATGACTGCATCATAAATAGTCTAATTAATGAGACTTTTGTTTTTATTTAATTACTTTAATATTTTGGCCTTTTGAGGAGAGGGACCCTGTGTTTTTTCCAAATATATGTTATTACATTCAACATTTCCAGTGAGAACTTTGTGCTTATTTTTTAACCCCACATGTCTTACTGTTTTCTTGAACTAGTCTTAGAAATGGCATTATTGAGTCAAAGATTATGAATAGTTTTAAGGATCTTGATTCATATTACTAATTTACTTTCTTAAAACCTTACTATAGTTTATACTCTCATTAATATTTTCTGGCATCTTGTTTTACCTTCTCTGTTTGACATGTACTTTTACTAAAGCATTTGCATATTGAAGTGGAAATTATTTTTGACTGTCATGGTGAGTTCCAGATAAAGCAAAGTTTTGTTTTGTTTTTTAGATGACTTGTATTATAGGAATAAGATTGTTTCCACATAATCTTATTTTATCATTCAACAAGTACCTCTTAAAACACATCTGGTGTCAGTAACAATGCATTTGATTATTAGTCTCACAGTGAGTGAATTCAATACATGATACAAGTACTTATTATTATCCGTGTGTCTCCTGTTGAGTGAGACTTTCCTTGATCTTCTCACTAGTTCTGTCTGATGACAGTCACCATTTCTCAGCCTTTGCTAATCCCTTTCATAGTGCAGCCTCTCTGACACCCTGATAATGCCTTTTAGCTCACTTCTCAGCTTGGCAAGAGGATGTCAATTTTTTTTCTCTTAAGCCTGAGATAGTGCTTCTCCCATTGGGCAGTCAATAGCCAGGTATTGATTGAAAGCATATCAAGTTGTCTGGCAATCATGCCCTATAGTCATCACAGAGGAATAACACTTTTGCTATTTCGATAGTAGGTAAATGGTCCTCTAACTACATTGCATTTTATGGTTGGACCAAAAGGTTGGAGAGGGTGGGGGATTTTGCTAAGTGAGTTTATTTATTTATTTATAAAGTATCTTCATTGTTGAAAGTATTACAGATGTCCCCCTTTGTTTTTTTTGTTTTTTTTTTCCCATTGACTCCTTCCACCCAGCACCTGCCCCCACCCCAGGCCTTTACCACACTGTTGTCTGTGTCCATGGCCTATGCATATCCTATATAATAAAAGCCTAATATGCTAAGTGTCTGTCCAGTTGGCCGTTCAACCAATCAAAGCATAATATGCTAATGATATGCTAAGGCCGCTCAACCGTTTGCTATAATGTGCACTGACCACCAGGGGGCAGACACTCTGACCGGTAGGTTAGCTTGCTGCTGGGGTCTGGCCAATCAGGACTGAGCGAGATGGGCCA